ACCCAGAGAGAGCTTCTGTCTTTAGTCTTTTCAACCAGTATGATCATTTCACAGTTGCAGTTAATTAGATTGTCACAGAAGTACTAGGATAACAGTTTATAGATATAAACACTGATGTTTTACGCTAAAGATAAAAATAACTTTTTAATGCTGTGCTCACAAGAGACGCGGCATGCGCGAATAATTCATTCACTTGAACATTTTGAGTTTACTCACTTCATTCGCACATGAAATTCACTTATGGCCTGTTTCCACTAAGTGGTACGGTACAGTTCGGTTTGGTACGCTTTTTTGGCCGTTTTCCACTGTCAAAAGGTGTACCGAACCGTACTGTACCGTATCATACCACTTTTTCTGCACCCTTTCGAAAGGGTACCAAACACGAGAAAGTGTATCAAAAGGCGAAGCTAGACGCGCAGCTGAACGCTATTGGTTTACAGAGATACGTCATCCGCTTACGCAACAAGCCAGAATGAAAACAAAAACCTGCCATGTTTAAAATGAACACACACAGCCAAGAGATTATAGCGGAATTATATATACATATAATAACAAGCTATGGTCGATTCAGGCTCAAACAAACCTTGTCGTCGTGTTGATGAACAGCCAGAAAGCCATAGAGCAGAATCTATCCTGTGCCTCGTAGTTTTTTTACGAGCCATTCTGAAGTGTGAGCCGTTTCGCTTTCTTGCTTGCGCTCGCCGCGTGTCTATATCTGAAATAACAAACCTCTTGAGCTAATGATAATAACGTGCGCTTGATTATTGACGTGCTTTTGAAACCCCATCCTGACAGACATTGACAGAGTGAAGCGTGAAAAAAAGAAGCCGAGAAAAAAGGAGCACAAAATTTCTTCAGCAAACGTGAAAAAACTGCCTTGTTTTCATTTTTGACTTCACCTTTTGGACTAATATGAACTGGAAATGATGAAATTACTCTCTAACAGAGGCTGCATGTGCTGCTGAAGATTACAGACACAGATAAGAGGTTTTCACTGACTGTAGGCTATATTTTGTGTTGTTCTCAACCTAATTAAGGCTGAAATGTATGCTGTGTGTAGTTCTTTTGTAACTGGTAACATATCGGAGACTGTAAGGGTCTGTATGTGTTTATATATTTTGTATTTATTTTTTTTAATATAATTGCAGATGTTACAGTTGGCTATTTTGCACTGTCATTGATCTGCAGTTATAATCAAATCTTGTTTATAGAAAAGTTAGTAATAAACATTTATACACAAGTATTTATATGTAAGTGCTTCTCATATGATATGTGAGCGACCCGTACAGCTTTATTGTAGACATTTCCCAAAGCGAGAATAATGCGACTGAAACTTTGTCATACACCACGCCCACCAAAAGGGTACCCTTGGTAATGGGAACGCAAGCCCGATAAAGGTGACCCGTACTGACCCAAACCGTACTGTACTGTACCAGTCAGTGGAAATGAGCTATTGACAATAGACGTGGATTTGTATCATGGACAGATGCTTATCGCACTGAAGGATGTCAGGATTGCATTGACTTAACATGTAAATGCCTCGCGATTGATGCTTCATCCACGTCTGGTGTGAATGCAACATAAGAGTAACTCAACAATTCAATTGAAAGTTGTAGCAATTACACTGTTAGGCCAATAGGTAGCGACAAATAACATCAAAATGTGTGTCACTGAATAATTCTTCAAAAATCGTTCATATAGTAATGAAACTTTAAGATTTTAAAAGTGAGTTTTGTATCATTAATTGAAAATAAGTTTAAAAAATAAATAAGATTTGCTAATATTATTTTTGTTAACAAAATTCATTCATTCATTTTCCTTTAGCCCTTAACCACCAACTAGTCCAGCATATGTATTACGCACCAGATGCCCTTCCAGCTGCAACCAAGTACTGGGAAATACCCATAAACTCTCACATTCACACCCACATTCATATACTGTAGTAAATTTAGTTAATCCATGTAACATATACCATGGACTGTGGGGGAAACCAGAGCACCCGGAGGAATCCCACGTGAACACTGGGAAAACATGCAAACTCCACACAGAAATGCCAACTGGCCTAGCCAAGACTCGAACCAGCCGACCTTCTTGCTGTGAGGCGACAGTGCTAACCACTGAGCCACCGTGCCGCCCTTGTTTACAAGATCACAATGTTAATTTTATACATTTAGTATTATCAGAAATTAATTATAGGTATTGAAGCACCTCCAACCCTGTACATGTATGTCAGTTAATACATCATTAATGAAGAGATGTTTTTGCAAGAAGGAGGGGATGTTGTTTTAAAGATTATGAAAGCACATGAATTTAAAAAACAGTTTAGAATGGTCCACTTTGAGTTCATAATAATTAACATGGCACATATTCACTAAAACTACTCTATTTGAACTAGCTGAAGCCTATTTCTGAGATCCAGGAGGCTAAAACCAGCCAGGACAACAGAAACACAATGAGTTTCTAATAAACAAAATCTAGTCTTGTCCTATGTTTTTCTCATGTTAAAAGAGTTTTCACATAGACATGCATCAAAATAGGGATGAAAAGAACAAAGGTGACTGGTGGGATTTAACATAAAGTAGGCACACTCCTTTGAAAACTGTCAGTGTTTTTGTTTCGTCCATACAGTGAAAGTCAATGGGATTCAGTGTTGTTCTGTAAAGAAATTTCAACCCAGCTCCACTATATATAGTGTTCAACCAGCTGGTGTCAGCAATGTCCAGTTCTTCTGGTAATGCTACATACATCAGCACAGTCTGGTATATTACGCATGATCAAACACACAACTGAAAGCAAACATCTGTTGTTATTATTACCTCCACCCATCACATCTCAGTCGACTTCATTTAAAAATCCTCTTAAATCATAACGGATGCCCATTCGAATGACTTAAACCAGGTTCAAATGTATTAAAGTCCTCAGTCTGTCTGTGTCTTACTTTTTTCAGGCGCATCATCACAAGGGCTGAAAGTTTCGGAGATTTGAGAAAAGCTCTTCCCCTGCCATCTGCCACGTTCCTCCAAGCCCAATCAATTTTTGAGGTGCTTTGCTGCATTCGCTTCAGGCTATTTCCAATATACAGCTATATGCGAAACAATCACAGGTAGAGAATATCATCAAGGGCATTAGAAATGAACAGCATGTGAACCGGCCTACCAGGTGAAGTTTGTTTCCTTCTATCCAGTGGGTCCTGCCTTTTCCCCCGATCTCTTCTTTCTGCACACACATCAGTTTATCTCCATCCCGGGTGATTATGGTCTGTAACGCAACACAGAGAAGGTGATTTATTTTTATCCTACACTGTATGCAGCAAAAATACCAAGTTGCATTTAGACTGCAGAAAACACAGGAAAGTAGAACATGATTTTGTAAGAGTTGGAGGAGAAGAGCACACCTGTACTTTATGGATACTAAGATTAAATTAAATGTGACCTGCAATAAATATGTTTGCGCTGCAATTACATGGCGTACAAAGAGAAGCATGTTGAAAATGCCCCTTCCTCTGCTTTCTTTCAGTGAGAGGGATGAAGAAACATAATGCTGGGCAGTGTGAGGGCTGAATGGGGCAAGTGATTTATTATTGTTATTTTTATTTTTTGTTCAGGGCAAACCGGGTCACAACATCTTCACAATTTCAAGATTTTTTTTTTCAACTCAAAATCTTTAGAGGCCTTTTTAGAGAAAAGTAAAAAATGACCAGTTTTGAAAGAGAAGTTGTGGCACAGTCCAACTAATTATATATTATATTTACCAATTATATATTTTCTAGGACAGTAATTATAAATGACAATAACCATGAATGAACAAACTCTATTTATACCTGACAAAAGGGACTGACAGATATGCATTTATGTGGGTTTAACTTATATGCATTAATTATTACCAACCTCTGCATAAACAGATGAGCTTTATATTTTTATATTATTTACTCCAGAAAAATCCTCGTAAGCACTGAGTGATTTGACATTGTATAAACATGCACTAAACACATATATTCTGCAGTTTACATGTGTTTGTTGCCTCATTACTAGGGCCAGACAAAATCTGCAATTTTTTTCTGCAGAGAATTTGGTAAAAAAAATCTGGATTTATGCAAAATGATTTCAGGGGCATCATAGCTAAACACTTAATATATGAAATCAAATAAAAATAAACTTTTATTTATTGTTTACAATGTAAATCCAATGCAAGTCTCTTATATAATAGATCTACTACAAGACAGAAAATACTACTTAAACTGAATTCTGAATAAATCATATGAGCATTTTCATATCAGTCAATATTACTGAAATTAATGTAAAAACTGAATTAATATAAATTTACACACATTTACACAAGTAAATAGCCTCAATGATGGCCTCAAAATCGGCGAAAATCTGCAGATATCTGCACGCACAGATTCCTTTTGGGCCTACTCATTACAAACATACGCTGCAAATTCTACAATAAACATGTTAAACTAGTAAAGGATTCATTTAAACAGATTGTATACCTCTTCAGGTGGCTCTAAATAAATTTATAATCTCTAACAGTTCCAAGTTACCATGGGTTTACTAACCTTTTTTAAGTAGCCAACTTGTCAATTTTAAGACAACAGTGCACCCCTTGGCGTTCCACCTAAATTTTGCCAACTCAAATTCAAAAGCTTCCCAAATTCACATGCAGAGGTTTAAATGCAAAAATTTGGTATAATTTTAAAGAAAACCTTTTTAATTTTCATAAAACACTGTTGAAAGTGATTAAAACTATTGTATATGTTGTCTGTGTTATAATAAAGCCCTCCAAAAAAAAAAGGCACTTTATTTTGTTAATTCAAATATGAAAGTGTACCTTTTAGGTTCTGTGTGATCTAGGTTTCTGTAATTTTGTTGGTTCCTGCACATATCAGTAATTATAGAAAAAAAGAAAGAAAATGTCTCTACCATAATCTATGCTAAAGTTATTCTATTCCAACCAATGAGAGGACAGAACCACTTATGGGCCAGTGCGGACCTTTAAAATGTAAATAATTTAGAAGTAGAGGATGTCACGGATCTGAGTTTTGGAGATTTAAAGAAGGTTTAAGTGTGCAAATGTAACAGGTATGAAAATTATAATTCGCTTTAAGTATAGAATTACACAAAATATGTATTTTATCTAATGTGTTAGTAAGTATACCTGAGGTGTTTGTTAGTATGTGTCTTTTCCTTTAAATTTCTAAGGGAGCTCACGCTGTTTAATTTCCTGTTTTGCGCCCGCCTCTTCCCTTACTGCACTGACTGCGCATGGGAGAGGTGGGTGTCTGCTAAGCTCCAATTAATCTTTAATCATCTTTACTTTATAAATGACTTTTAAAGCTAGTTTTCATGTTTAAATAATATTTATACCTTAATTTTTCACATATATTTCATTATTTTTGTGTCATCACTTAAATTGAAGTTTTGATTGACTTTAGCCTAACTGAAGCATGTGAATGCTAAACGCATTGCACTTTACTTTAACAGAAAAGCTGTAAGGGCGAAGACACACTGTAAAAGCTGTGCTTTTCGATTTATTCTCAGGTATGTTTTGTCACTTTGTTAATATTGTTTGGAGTTTTGTTCTATCTCTCTCTCCATCTCTTCCCTTTCTGCACTGACTGTGCATGGGAGAGAAAAGCTGTAAGGGCGAAGACACACTGTAAAAGCTGTGCTTTTTGGTTTATTCTCAGTGAGTAAAGAGCCGTCACAACTGCAGATCTCCGACTGGTTATTCCTTAATAAAACAAAGAAAACACAACGCAGAATCGGTTACACAAATACTGTAAAACTTTTTTTTTTATTATAAAACACCAACGTTCTGTCAGGTAGTACCAAACATTTTTTTAAATTATTCAGTGCATCAGAAAAGATCAGATATGAAAATATAGCATACACACTGCATGATTGGAATTCCACGCTTTGAAACTAACCTCAGTTGGAAATGAATGACTTCTGCTCTGTAGTTTGTCAGAGATAATGAAAAGGTGGCTTTAGGGGTTAAGCAAAATAACAGCCGATTATCTCTTTACATCTCTAGTTATCTTAGAGCGCAGGCCTGAGATACCCCAAGTTTCTCCAAATGATAGGAAAAGCGAGAAGAAAATGAAAGGAGAGAGAGTAACGCTTCTTATTAGATTAAAGAGCCAATTATTGCTCTCATTTCACACTTTCCCCCTTTCTCATTAGTTGAGATTGTGAACTGTAAATGACACGCGCAGTTAGGGATTTTCAAGGGCGATGAAATTACAGAAATGGCAACCCCATAAGAGAATTATTACCAAAGTCACATGACGCAGAATGATCCTGAAATGTCATCCTGAAATCTGTATAATAAACCACGCAAACCCATTTATTTATACTTGCTCATTATGGAGATAGTTCTAATCAAAACTAAGATTTACTTACCATTTATTAACCCTCATGTGGTTGCAAATCATTACGAGTTGCTTTATTTCTGTTGAAAATATATTTTAAAGAGTTTTAGGCTTCCACTGAGGTCAATCGCTACTAGATTTTAATATTCTTCAAAATATCTTCTTAATTTCATCAAAAAAAAGAAGATGTTTAGAACAAATGAAGGTTAAGGATAATATTTTTTCTTGAAATGCAAGAAAAAAAAAAAACGCAGAAATTGTCAAAATATCTCAAAACTTACTTTAAACTTCTTCCTTTTTTCCCTCCAACGTGTCCTTGCAGACAGTATCACTAAAGGAGAAACACTTAATGTTGCAACTTCATCTCGAGCCAAATAGCAAAGTTTGAAAAATAGAAGCTCTACTGAGTGGTGCTTTATAATAAAAAACAATCAAAGAATGCTTTTAAGGTCTCGAGTCCTCTAAGTGCTTGCCTTGAAAGTTTGCTCACCATACATTTCCTGTCATCAGATCCTCCTGAAACTCCTAAACAACCTCAAGATTCATGCCGTAGTTCCTGAAGCTGCGGAGTCTTGTTGATGAAGCGATCTCCATCTTAACGGAGTCCTTTATCAATTTTCAGCAGTGACAATCTTTGTAATAGCTGCATTTTTACATCTGGAAAAGAAAATTATAGACCTGTGTGAATTTCTCAGGATAGTACAGTACTCTTATTAGTAAAATGTACTACAGCAATAGCCCAGTGAGTGATGCTTACAGACGGAAATGTACTTCAACACTTTAAATTGTACCATACACTCTCAAAAAATTGTTCAAATTACTTATAATTTATCATTTATTTATTGCCACATCGGGCGATGCAATGTCGCAGTAGGTAGTGCTGTTGCCTCACAGCAAGAAGGTCGCTGGTTCGAACCGGCTCAGTTGGTGTTTCTCTGTGGAGTTTGCATGTTCTCCCTGCGTTCGCGTGGGTTTCCTCCGGGTGCTCCGGTTTCCCCCACTGTGCAAAGACATGCGGTACAGGTGAATTGGGTAGGCTAAATTGTCCGTAGTGTATGAGTGAGTGTGGATGTTTACTAGAAATGGGTTGCGGATGGAAGGGCATCCGCTGCGTAAAAAACGTGCTGGATAAGTTGGCGGTTGTGGTAGGGAAGGCGTGATCGAACACCCAAAAAGGGGGGAGAGCAAGCGGAGACACCGGCGGCTGGCCAATATAAATAACCTTTAACACCTGCATTTTCTAGTGATTGGGCTGGAGAGACACCTTCATAAGGGGAGAAGGAGAAGCCGGGAGAGAGAGGAGAGCTTGACAGAGACTACTCACACACGAGTGCCCCGCACAGAAAAAAATAAATAAGTATTTGTGCTTACCGATATCGCCGACCCTGTCTTCTTCCCACACAACGAACTTTATTATTGCGGTTCATTCTGCTGTGGCGACCCCGGATTAATGAAGGGACTGAGCCGAAAAGAAAATGAATGAATGAATGAATGAATGAATGTATTGACACATCAGCAACTCATGGCTATTTATGGCAAGATGGATGTACATAAAAATACATGATAAAAACAAATTCGTTTTACAATAAAAAGTAAGATAAATATATAAAATAAATATAAATAAAATTCACACAAAAATATACTTAAAGTTAAATATGATTTTTTAGTTCAATGTTTGATAAATAATTTAAAATTCCATCAAAATACTCTCCTTATTAAAATTGTGCAATTGTATTCAAGCTTCAAATTACTAAAAAAACAAACTAAAACAACACAATTTTTGAGTTTTTGGGGGGAACAAATTAATTTTCCTGTTTAATCCACTTGACATTGTAAAATGAATGTTACCTTAATTCCTTCATGTTGACCCAACACAAATCGACTTTGTGGAACCTTGCAGTTTTTACAGCGTCGTATTTCTCAAAAAAACATCTTAGTGTGAACAAACTCAAAAAAAAAAAAAAAAAAAAAAAAGACAAAGACAAAGGAAATAAACAATAAATGGAAAATTGCAGTTTAGTTTCCTATACAAACATACTCAATGGCCACTTTAGTAGGTACACCTTACTAGTTCTGGGTTGGAAACACTTTTGCCTTCAGAACTGCCTTAATCCTTTGTATATTCAACAAGGCACTGTAAATATTCCTCATTGATTTTGGTTCATGTTGACATGACAGCATGACACAGTTGCTGCAGATTTGTCAGCTGTACATCCATGATGCAAATCTCCCGTTCCACCACATTCCAAAGGGGTTCTATTGGATTGAGATCTGGTGAGTGTGAAGGCCATTTGAGTACAGTGAACTCATTGTCATGTTCAAGAAACCAGTCTGAGATGATTCGTGATTTATGACATGATGTATGTAGCCTCAGTTTCCTGTTCTTAGCTGACAGGAGTGGTACCCGGTGGGGTCTTCTGCTGCTGTAGCCCATCCGCCTCAAGGTTTGACGTGTTGTGCACTCAGAGATGATCTTCCAAATACCTCGGTTGAAACGAGTGGTTATTTGAGTTACTTTTGGTTACTTAAAGTGAGTAAACCAATTGCCTTAAGCAACAAGTATACTTTACAAAAATAATGTAAGTAAACCCATTGTAACTTGGGACTGTTTATGTTAAGTTGACCTAATTTTTATAATACGCAAATTGTACTCACTTTTGTAAAGTCAACTAATCCCTTTTTAAAGCATCAAACCTATTTTAGCACGTCTGTTTTCAATGTATAACTCTGTCCCAATATTACATATTTGGTGTAATTAAGTAAAATCTACAATTAGCCTATATTGAATTTAGAAGACATACTGGAGTCTGGAAAAGCAGATTTATTTTACTCTGTTATTTTGCTAGATAAAGAAAAGCTGAGTAAAAAACAAAATAAATATAATAAAGGTGTATTGAAAAAAGGGATAAGTTTACTTTTATTTAAAAAGTAAGCACAATTTGCATAATTATAAAAAATAAGTCAACTTAACAGTTCCAAGTTACAGTGGGTTTACTTATGTTATTTTTGTAAACTCAACTTGTTTTTAAGGCAATTAGTTTACTTGCTTTAAGTAACAAATCACTTTTTACAGTGCAGTTGGACAGGCGTACCTAATAAAATGGCCAGTGAGTGTATACTATAGTGTGCTGAAGGTATTTAAATATTACAATATTGAAGCTAAAATTTAGACACTGAGAAAATGTACAAAAACAAAGGTTACAAAATGATACAAAACAAGGATAGCCAAGTACTTTTAACTTACAACATATTTTATTTAATAAGATATACTGTATTGTCTGGTAATTTTTCTGGTAAAGCTTAAACAAACAATGTTATTTCCTACATTTATTGAAGAAATAGTATTTATAGCGCTTGCATTAGGAGGTCAAATACATAAAAAAAAAAAAGTTTACTTGAGAAAATAGGTGTTACTTTAAATCTTGATAAAACTCTTTAACTTTTTTTTTTAAACTGATAGTTTTGAATATAGTTGTTTCGTTGAACACTGGCGGCACAGCAGGGTAGCCCTCACAGCAAGCAGCTTTTTAAAGATTATTCTCTTATTTTGTGTTCATCAGATGAAACTCATGCAGTGTTGGAACAAGTCGAGTGTGATAATATTTGGGTGAACGATCCATTTAAGACTGTTAATGCTGTAAAAATGAGGTGTCAAACTCACAGAGAGCTTTCAAATACTTATTAAAGTTCTCACTGGAGATCATTTTCCAGAAGCTGTCAAATCAGCAGCCATTTTCGGAGACTCCACAGTAGCAGCTCAGACATTGATGTTCCACAATTTACTCTGAGAAAAAAACTTCATTTAACAACACAGTCATTTTCTGATTACTTGCAAATTGATTGTTTCTTGGGTTTGGTTACTGCTACGTAAAAAATGCTGGGTTCCACACAATTGTGTATTAGTTCCACAAAACATGTATTAGTTTTTACAAATACAAGTGGATTGAACATAAAACAATAAAGTTGTCCACCCCAAAAACCCAGGAATTTTGTTGTTTCATCTCACTTTATAATTAGCTTAAATTAACAGCAATCATTTTTTAAGAATGTTATGGAAACAGTTTCTCCATCTCTGGACTTCATTGTTGCTAACTTAGAAAACATCACGTCATGAATTTGACATCATATTACCTGTGGGATTGTGTGCTGAATGGTAGCTGGGTGAAACGGATTGCCCTTTGTTAATTTATTTAAATTACTTATTTAAAATAAGCCGAAGCACAATTATTGAGATTTATTTTGGGACAACTTAATTGGTTTATGTTCTACCAACTTAAATTTGTAAAAACTAATAGGTTAAGTTAATTTCTTTATGTTGTCCCTACAAAGTTGTGGAATCCAACTTTTTTTTTGGTGGGGGGTGGGACCAGAGCGGAGTATGAACAACAGTTTATTGAACAGGATGGCAGGTAAATAACTGAATATGTCTATTGCTGGACACGTGTAGAAGGGACCGGAAGAAGAAATGAAGCTAGGTACTGAGGGACCGGGGAGCAAACAACCAGATGAGACCAGGAGGGAACCACAATAGGAGGAAGAGACACAGACACTAAAGATCATAGAAAACCAAGACTGGTAAGTACAACTTAGAGCGATTTCTATTTACTGACCGCAAGCAAGTTTGTCCTTCTGTTATGCAACGAAGCCAGACACTGAGTTGAGTGAGGTCCTAGGTTTTATGGGGCTGAAGTGATGACTAGGGATGACGTGCAGGTGCGGGGCTATTCAGAATACAGGTGACTGTGATCAGGATGATTGCGGTGAGGAGAACCTGGCCTGGCTGTTACAGTATGGACCTTATTCTGACGCACTTTGTCAAACCACCACCTCCCCTGACAGCTGAGCAGGACTCTGCAAAATAAACCATGAAACTCTGACCAATGTGAGGAGAGTTTACTCGCACCTGACTTGTTTTAGCTCTTTTGGTTCGTTTAGAAACTTTGCCGTGTGAAAGCGAACCGCACCAAGAGCAAAGAGCAACAATGTAACAATTTTAATCACTGTTTCGTAACAACTGAATCGACTCACAGGTGTGAAAGCACCCTAAAATGCATAAGTGTGCTCATTTTTGCGATTGTTTTAGAACTTCCGATTCAATTGCCTATAGGATAAATAATTAGGAATAATATACAGCAGAAAATGGTCAAACTACTTGCTTTACAAACAAGTGTGTTCATGACTACACAGACAAGCATAATGATATAATAAGAAAATATCAGTTTGCAACCTCAAGCAGCAGAAGGAGCTGTTTTTAACGTCCAAAAATCAATGGAAGTGATTGAGATTGGAAGTCTCGAGCCAAAGAGATTCAAATGATTGACCCCACTAGTACGTGAATGATGAGGTAAACTTGGGGCCAAAACCTGGTATGTTTTACCTTAATTGTTTCAACTGTTATTTGCTCAGGCCCGTAACCAGGGAGGGTTCGAGTGGTTTGAAAGACCCAGCCCTCACTAACAAAGGTCCAAAATTTGTCTCATACATGAGGCCATTTGTCCTATTTTGACTGCTATGCCATAATAAATAGTAAAATAACCTATCGAAAACGGTTCTAAGACCAAGTGGAATCCTCTGCCGGCTGTCGCTTAAGTGTAACTAATCAGTTTTGGCCAGTGCACACAGTTATTTTTCACGAGTCCAACATTCAGCTGTCCAAGAAAACATACAATTTGACAAAAGTGGTCATCTTTCGCTACTGTATTGTTTTTAAATCGAGAAATATTTTACAAGTAACTTTTATTCTAAATATTGGAACAAAATTGACAATTGAAAAGGTGTGAAGCACTAAAAGCGACCAATATTAAAATTAATTTGAGTACTATTTTGGCTATTGTTGTTATCTATGAATTTTCAAATGTACTTTTTTGGTTATGATGACCATCGAACAATCTATTTCAGCTAGAACAGTGCTTAAAATGCCACTAAAATTCAGTATTTAACCACCCCGTCACCAGGCTGGCTATGGGCCTGTAACTACAGGATGGTTTTTATTAAAGCAAAATCATAACGATCATGTTTTTTTTTGTGCACAAAAAAGTTTTACGACCTACTCTATGGTTGTAAACTATGGTTAGTGTATAGCAAAACCATGGTTAATCAGTGGCTACATTTTTTTTATTTGTACCAAAAACCATGATTAATTTTCGCAAAAGTTTTAAATTTTTTTCAAATTAAATATATATATATATATATATATATATATATATATATATATATATATATATATATCGTTTATGACAACACATACCATATTGATACAAAATTGAACACTCAATGTGTAATCTTGTGAATTATTACACAAAAACACTGAAAATATTTTGAGATTTTAATAATAACAAAATAAATGTAATGTCAGTTCTTGCAGTATCTTAGATTCTCTCACACACAAACAAACAAAATCATTTCCTCTTTGTAGTGATAAATATTTTACAGTACACATTCCAGTAGACTAGACTGTTCCACTATACATCTATTTGTTGTATACAAAAGTATATTTTGTGCTTGAATTAAGATGAAATTGAATTGTCACTCATTTCATAGTTAGTGTGTCTGATGCTTACAATGGCCACACATGGTCATTCTGTGCAAAACACTATAGCCAGAAGAGAAAGACTGCTTGTGGTGAATGAATTCCTCCGTTTTTTTTTTTTTTTTTTTTTTTTTGAGACAGAACAAATAAAGGAATTCTTTTAAAAGCAGAACTCCACACACAAAGACTGTCAGCAGGAGGGCTTAAATATTGCAAAGCCCACCCTTAAAGCAACTAAAGCCGAAACCCGCAGTCAATGATACAAAGAAAAAATAATAATGTAAAACTACATTCTTCTATTTTATTTAGTCAGAAACTGTTTTTCCTCCAATGACAAAAACTTGATGTAATGTCTTTAGGGATCTGACAACATGAATGACGCCTTCTCTGCAAAATGGAAATGGAGGAAGCAATGTTTGCTCTCCAAAAGTGTAAAGGCTCTGTTATTTATCTTCCTTGTGACATTCAGCAAAAGTCAACAAATCCCAGACCTGTCGAACACAGACCTACAGCTCTGTAGTGATCTGGCAAAATCTTGCTCCTGCAGAGACTGGATAAATTCCTAAATCCCTCTCCACACATTACACTAGGAAACCACAGTCATGGATAATGCTCACTTCGTACAAGAGAAAACATACTCTCTCCTAAAGCTACTTTCTATAAAAACGCATTTACTCTATGAATTAAAAAAAGGTAACTGTGATGTTTCTCATGATTCTGACATTTTTTTGTCCAATGGTGAATTCAGAAATACACCATTTTAGCTGCAAGGCTATACAATAAGTAATGGTACATATAAGTATACAAGTGTGAGAAAATAAATGTTAGATCATGTACATAGTGCACTATATATACACAATACAGTTGGGGTTAAAATTATTAGCCATCTTATGATTGATTTTTCTTTTAAAAATATTTCCCAAATAAAATTTAACAGAGCAAGGAATTTTTCACAGTATTTCCTGTAATACTCTTCTTATTATTAGCCCTCTTAGGCAGTTTTATATTCCATAGTATACAGATGGAAGCTGAATACTAGTATCTAAACATATTTAGTAAAATATTATGTACTGTCTAGGCCTGTCACAATAATCTTATCACACAACACTTGGACCTCAATCATTTTTAGTAAGGAAATATACACTACCTGACAAAAGTCTTGTCATCAATCCCAGTTGTAAGAGCAACAAATATTAACTTGACTTCTAGTTGATCATTAGGAAAAGTGGCAGAAGGTAGACTTTTCCAATGAACTGCACCCCAATCATCACAAATACTGCAGAAGACCTATTGGAACCCGCATGGACACAAGATTTACAGAAATCAGTCAAGTTTGGTGAAGGAAAAATCATGGTTTGGGGTTACATTCAGAATGGGGACATGCGCGAGATCTGCAGAGTGGATGGCCACAACAACAATCTGAGGTATCAAGACATTTGTGCAGCACATTACATGACAAACCACAGGAGAGGGCAAATTCTTCAGCAGGATAGCGCTCCTCATACTTCAGCCTACACATCAAAGTTCCTGAAATCAAAGAAGGTAAAAATACTTCAGAAATGGCCAGCCCAGTGACCGGAAATGAACATTATTGAGCATGTCTGGGGTAAGATGGAGGAGGCATTAAAGATTAATCCAAAGAATCTTAATGAAATCTGGGGGTCCTGCAAGAACGCTTTTTTTTGCCTTTCCAGATGACCATTAATAAGTTATTTAAGTCATTGCAGAGATGTACTGCATCAGGGCTCGAAATGAACCTTTTACTTGGTAGCATCAGTGCTCCTAACTTCAAAAGTTTAGGCGCACCAGACAAAATTTAGTAGCACCCACCAAAAATTACGAAAAAGCCATTACTAAATTTTTTTTATTTACGCCCCATTCACAGGGGCTTTCAGCGTCAATGCTTCCCATTCACTTTGAACAGGTGTCGTCAGGCGTTGCCGAACTGCTTTGTGGATCCGTTCGCGCCGCTTCAGAGGCGTTGCTACCTGCAGAAGTTGGGACTAGTTCAACTTTTCAAGCGCCGATGGAAGCGTCAGCCAATCAGATTGCTGTATCCAAATGCACCAGCTAGACAGTGGCCTATTGCTGACTGAATTTCATTGGCTGACACTGCTATGACAATCGCTTCAGCCCCAATTTCAGATACGACTTCAGTCAAGCGTTGATGCTGAAGCCCCGTGTGAATGGGGCGTAACTGATTTGATCATATATTAACACTCTAATCACAACTAAAAAATAAACAAAAATCTACATGCGCTTACCGGCCCTGTACCACTGCTTGACGTGAATAAGATGAACTAAATTAACAATAAAAACTTCTGTTCTCATGGGTGCTATCTAATATTACACAGATGATATTGATATATAACTTATTATTTGCATACAAAATCTTAATAGCTATAATGGTCTCAGTGTATGCATGCTCTGTAGCATTGGTGAACGCGGAGTCAGTCGCACGACAGCATCATGACGATTAAATGAAGGATTAAATAACGTTTAAACATCTCATGCTTAATGTGTAGATTCCGTGGCAAACACTTTTACGTGAAAACTCTGTCCCACCGGCTTTACGGTGAATTCTTTAGTGATTTTCATAGCGGACATTAAACACTGGAAGTCTTTTATCCACTCTTTGAAAAATGTAAATGCTGGATTGACATTCAGCACATGATCACTAATCAGATGTGTCATTATTTGTAACTTTAGGAGATTTCTAAAACTAAATCTATCAGTGTTGTTTTCATTCTCTCGGATCCAGACCTTTACATTTTTGCGACTGTAGTTCTCTGTCATCAGAACAGTGATTGACAGCTGATATTAACCAATCCATTCACGTTCTGTTCTAGCGCAGTGGGCCAATAAGAAGAGCTTGAAGGCGGGGCAAGCATTGCAGGCTTTGTTTACTGCAGCAAGTTGACATGTCAACTGGTTTAAACTATTCCTGAGTGCTGCGTTTGATGTTTTTAGGTGCAAAGATGCTTAATGCATGAATGCCTTCTAATTCCGCGCATGTGGTAAACATTTTGCTGTGAAAACAACAATTAGAGGCACAAATGCCCCCAAATATATTTAAGGTTGCATAGATAAAATTTCGGGCGCATATGCAATAAAAAAGTTCGCAATTTCGAGCCCTGTGTATGGATGCAGTCTTCAAAGCTCATATGAGTCATTCACAATATAAATGTTGTTTTTTTACTGCACCATGACTTCATATTCATTCATTCATTCATTTTCTGGTCGGCTTAGTCCCTTTATTAATCTGGGGTCGCCACAGTGGAATGAACCGCCAACTTATCCAGCGTGTATTTACTCAGCGGATGCCCTTCCAGCCGCAACCCTTCTCTGGTAAATGACTTTATATTACTGTACATTATTTCTGTTAAGTGACAAGACTTTGTCTAAGCAAAGTCAGACCTTACTGTACTAATTAAATAATTAAAAAAAGTCAAGGCATGATCATGTTTTATTTTGGTGAAATAAGGGTAATCTAGAGGCCTTTGCCTTTCATATAAGCCTCTTCTGATACCAAATGATCAACTGGAAGTCAAGTTATAATTTGTTGTTCCTAAAACTTGGCTGGACAACAAGACTTTTGTCAGGTGGTGTATATCGCTCATACATGAAAACTAATTCTAGCAACATTTTAGCTGATTGCGCAAGCTCTCTATCTCAAATGGAGGTGTCAGTGTCAGTATGGTTAAAAACACTTTTGTATTTACTGTTAATTACTAAAGTATATATTTACATGTGGGTGTCTGACAACTGAAAATAGATCTGGCAGCAGATCTCGCACTTATTTTTTACCTTACACAGTTTTGTTAAGATGTATTATTATTTATTTCTTTAGGATGCATGTTTTCTCATTCTGATTCCAATGCCTCATTATTAAATAGTTAAAATGACTACTATTAAATTAAATATTCTTTAGAATAAAATCTTAAGTGTTTTTTGGAAGGAGTGTACTTGCATTATGATGCTATTATACTGTGATTATGCCATTATATAATGACTGGCTAAAATTGGTCTTAAATGACAATATATATTGTTTATTGCAATATATTTTGGTGCAATACATCGTACAACAAAAAATAGACAAGCCTAGTAAATCAAGGCAAAAAAAAAATAATCAGCCATTAGAAATTAGTTATTAAAACTTTCATGTTTAGAAATGTGTCTTATTTCCGTTAAATAGAAATTGGGGAAAATAGGTAATGATTGCTAATTTTAATAACAATTTTGAGAAATACTTTTTATTCCTTAGAAGAAACAAGCACAAACAATTAACTAAGTTAAAACATTTTTACTGTACACAAAAAGGCCAGAATTGAAAGATGTAAACTCAGCTAAAAGTTTATAAAATGCAAATGTGAGATAGTTGTTTTGTTTTTTATTATTAGAAATAAAATTAAATTCTGAGCTGTAAACTTCGTGATAGAGAACATACAATTTTTAAATTTTGTGATTTTTTTCTAATGGCCTGGTTACTTTTGTAAATAATTTTGTAGTAATGGAAGATCATGAAAAGGGATGTGTTGCTTTAGGTTTCTTACCCCAATAAGGGAATTTAATTTGGAGAATTGTGTAAAATTTGAAAAATTGCTGTACAAATGTCTAACAGCTGTTTTGAATTGTACCTCTTTGCAATAAAAAAGTTAAATATAACAAAGAAGTTTTGTGATGGATTATAGGTGATTGGGTGTCAGCCAGATTGGGTATCTTAACTTGAACATAGAAAAATTAAGACCTGTTTAAAATGATTTAAGACCTACAACACAACATTTCAGTGAATTAAAGACTTTTTAAGGCCTCAAATTTAGTTTTTAAAATTTAAGACACTTTTAAGACCCTGCAGACACCCTGATAAATCTAAATTATGTATTAAATAAAATAATAATAATAATAATAACAAAAATGCAATTACTTTTTAGATTTAAGAGCATGTAATATATATATAGCTGTCGCCTCACAGCAAGAAGGTCGCTGGGTCGAACCTCGGCTCAGTTGGCATTTCTGTGTGGAGTTTGCATGTTCTCCCTGCCTTCGTGTGGGTTTCCTCCGGGTGCTGCGGTTTCCCTCACAGTCCAAAGACATATGGTACAGGTGAATTGGGTAGGCTAAATTGTCCGTAGTGTAAGAGTGTGTGTGAATGTTTCCCAGAGATGGGTTGCGGCTGGAAGGGCATCCGCTGCGTAAAAACTTGCTGGATAAGTTGGCGGTTCATTACGCTGTGGCGACCCCGGATTAATAAAAGGGACTAAGCCAACAAGAAAATGAATGAATGAATGATTTATATATATATATATATATATATATATATATATATATATATATATATATATATATATATATATATATATATATATATATATGTATATATATTAATATATATGTATATATATTACATTTATATGGATACACCTTAATAAAATGGGAATGGTTGGTAATTTTAACGTCCTGTTTGTGGCACATTAGTATATGTGAAGGGGCAAACTTTTCAAGTCGGCCATCTTGGATATAACTTTTGTTTTTTTTCAAAAGGAAGAGGGTCATTTGAAACATCACACTTATTGGGAATTTCACAAGAAAACAATGGTGTGCTTGGTTTTAACGTAACTTTATTCTCTCATGAGTTATTTACGTTTCTGACCACTTATAAAATGTGTTCAATGTGATGCCCATTGTGTTGGATTGTCAATGCAACCCTCTTCTCCCACTCTTCACACACTGAAAGCAATACAGCAGGAGAAATGCCAGCACAGGCTTCCAGTATCCGTAGTTTCAGGTGCAGCACATCTTGTATCTTCACACCATAGACAACAAAGATAGTGGGGCCATTCTTCAATAATGGAAACCTCAAGACCACTGGATATTTGAAATTGCTACATGATGATGTGTTTCCCTCTCTATGCACTGAAGCTGGCACGTTTCCTGAGTATTTCCAGCAAGATGGCGCACCACCACATTATGAATGTCAGGTCCGAGCATTCCTAGATGAACAGGTTCCTGAAAAGTGGATTGGTCGCCAGTTGAATGGCCCACAAGGTTTCCCGATCTGACCCCCTTAGACTTTTATCTTTGGGCCATCTGAAGGTAATTGTCTATGGTGTGAAGATACAAGTGGTGTGAAGATTCCTATTGAAACAACAAAAGTTGGATCTAAGGTGGCTGACTTCAAAATGGCTACCATGGTCACCATCCATCTTGAAAAGTTTGCCCACTCACATATACTAATGTGCCACAAAAGGGACGTTAATCATCGATCATTTTAATTTTATATTTTATTAAGGTGTATCCATATAAATGGCCCATTCTGTATGTATGTATATATATATATATATATATATATATATATATATATATATATATATATATATATATCTTCTAAATTAACACTAAAAACAAAAAGTTTTACGTTTGAAACACATTGCACCATTACCTGCAATCAACACCACTGAAGTCTATGACCTCCCAATAGATCAGTCTAGTATCACTTGCTTAGTGAGAGGTCGTAGTTTAACGTCTTTGTTTTTCATCTCGCTGTCTTGGGTATAAAGCTTGTGCTCTCTTATGTACTCAATGACCGAGTCTGGCAACAGATATTTAACACTGTGACCTCTCCTCAGAGCTCGACGGATCTCCGTGGCGCTGATCTCATTGTGAACCCACTCCCGAACCAGGAAAATGCTTGGCCGGTGCTTGGACAACAAATCAGACTCATGTATAGCACGATCAGGCTGAAGGCTGCCACGGCTCACGCAGACCAGTCCAAATCGGCCCACAACCTCCTCGATGTGCTCATCCGTCCACAGACCAGGCACTTTAAAGGAGTCCATGAAATCAGCTCCACACAACAGCTTCAACTGAGGAACATCTGAAGAAAAAAAACAGTAAGATTACTAGTTGTGTATAAGGTAACAGGAGTCATTAACCCTTGAGCGCTGTTGGGAATGTTTTCATCCACCTTGTGGGGATGTTGAGTCTTAATTTTGACACATATTTTGGGAAAATGATTAGAAATTTTTAAAAATGTCAACAATACACTCTGGGTAAATTTACCACCCTTTATGTTAACAGAAAAAAAACACACATTTTACCTCTTCCCAACAGGGAAAACCACCAACAATCAAGAATACATGATTATTTGGTGTCATGACTTTGCAATCAAAAAAGTGTAAGTATAATGGAAGTCAAAGGGGCCAAAACAGCCACCAACATAAAGAAAGGGTAGTCAATTTGCCCATATTGTTGAGTTTTTGAAAATTTCAAAGCATTTCCCCATAGTATGAGTCAAAATACGGGTCACCAAAAATCATTGCATTTTGCTGAAATACATAACAAAAGGGAACAAAACTTGAATGGTACACAAGGGTTAAATTAAAGTTAACAGTTAACAATGCTTTTTTACTTTTGGAATGTTAACCCTTGTATTGTTCAAACTTACTACCTATTCGTTATGCTTTCTTGAGAGTTAGCGATTTTCTTAGCTGGGAAGAGGTAAATGATCATTAGTTTGCACCATTTGCCCTTTAGATTTAGCCCTTTTTAAGCCAGTGCAAAAAAGTTTCTGGTTCTTATTTGGAGCTCTATGAAGTATAACAGCAAATTATAGTGTACATGCATAAATACACTCACTAAATTACTCTGTTCTGTGAGATGAGGTGCTTATTTTAATTTTTTCAGACATATCAAGGTACTGTAAGTGTGCAAAGGTCTCTCTCAGATTGCGATCAAAAATGTGATTATGATGGAAGTCAATGGAGCAAAAACAGACCCTAACATAACGAATGGGTTGTAAATTTGCACATAGAGTAATGTTGAGTTGTTGTTTTTTTTATTCAAAACATTTTCCCAAAATGTATGTCAAAATAAGGAGTCACTAAAAATCTTTCCATTTGCTGAAACACAGAGAAAGTTGTGGCTTAATTAAGACTCAAAATCACATCACCCCAAAGTGGATGGAAACATCCCCAACAGCACACAAAGGTTATTCATTGTAAAGATGTGTGTATGTGTGCTTTAAAACATGAGACCTGACTTTTTTTTCTGTAATATAAAGGCTACAACATGCTAACTAATCTATAGTATGTTGTTTTGCCTGTTTATAACATCTTCTGATGTTTAAAGCCTGTTTAGTTAAGCAATGCTGTTCTTATGCTGTATTTATTTATTATAATTATCAGTCATTGTCAGATGATTTCAGTCATAGCTATGCAAAGATTTTATTTCAACAACAGTTTCGTTTGTTATTAAACTTTCTTGTTATTAGCTTAAATCTGTATTTAACCTCAGAAAATCTTCACGTAAAAAAGAGGCGCTTAAGTCAGAATTTGTGGTGACTGTGTTTTAAAATTAAATTATTATGATCCTTATTTATACCTGGTTTAAACATTTGGAAATTATATACAGTTTTATTTTTTATTTTTAAAGGATGTTTAGAAGTAATAAAATGCAATCAGTTAGATGTAATACCGTTTTATATGTTTGTTTTTTTGTCTCCAGTGAAAGTTTATTTACCCAAACATATCTAAACCAGTTAATCAAGGCCTTCAGACTCAGTAAGCTGGCACAGCGTCTAAAATTTAGTTCCCTACTACAGTATATTCTATGAGACAACCCATATGTGAGCTGAGTATTTCGGCCAAATTCATTGCATTCCCAAAACAATAGCTGAGAAGCAGCAGGATGACCTACTTTTTGTGCTGAGATACTGAACACTTCTATCCCATGAGGCCACGGGAAAGAATTTATGAATGGATGTGGAGCAGCGCATCTGACACAGGTAGGTCACAAGATAATGACAACATGGCAGATGTAGTACATCCAAATTTCATTCATATTACTCATACTCTTACTATATTTCATACTTTTACCAAAATCTACAGTAGTGCCTACACAAACAGTATGTGACTTTAGACTCTGGCTCATGCTATTAGTGTCTGACTTTACTGGCTCATTTTTATTCCGTATTTCCAGGCATAGTACACTTAACTGTCATGTACTATACAGGGTTTAGTGAATGAGTGATTGGTTTTTAACAGTACTAATAATTTGTTTTTGCTGCTGTTGGAACCAGTTAAAGCTAAAGTATAGAGCACAGGTCCCAAACTCTATTCCTGGAGGTCCGAAGCTCTGCACAGTTTTGCTCCAACCCTAATCAAACACAGCTGATCCAACTAATCAAGGTGTTCAACACTACTAAAGACTATTAAGCAGGTGTGAGTTGGGGGGGTTGATAAACTGTGCAGACCTGCGACCCTTCAGGAATTGAGTTTGAGACCATTGCTCTAGAGGATATTGGCCTTCAAGGAGCAGAACTGGACACCCTTGCTCTACATAATAAATTGGAAGTGAGCATTTGAACTACTGTGGGCAAATATGAATGCTGTAATCATTAGCCCCTTTCACACATGCAAATTTGTTTGGAATAAGATGTTGTAACATTACCAGTAAATAGCTGGAATTCCGCTGTACCTGAACAACGCAAGTCTTTACGTTAATTTTATGGCAATTTACCAGTATTAAAGCCTTTGTATATATCAAACAAGATCAAAAACTGAAACTTCACACTGAAAAGACAAATTTGAACAAAATCTATCAGAAAGGAAGTTCTTATTGACTTCATTTTGGCAGTTCGAAACAGCTAACCAAAGCAAAAGTTTGTGAGAGTTTGTTTTGGCTCCTAAATCCCATTGAGCTACTATTGGCCCGTGGCGATTGGTGGGTGTGTTTTGGAACTCCTGCTTCTTTGACATGCAATTCCTTCCCCCAGATTTGTTTCTCATTCCACAGGGTGTCAGACAAGAGAACAACATCCAAAACAACAACACTAGCCACATTAATATCCAGGACAGTTGAACGCTCATGGAGAGATTTTAAAGAATTAGAAGAGACAAAAAGCAGACCTCGTTGCGCAAGATTTTCTAATAGTTTGCGCATACTGGTGGCACCATTCTGTGTCTGTCCAAGGCAAATAGAAAAGGATATGTCACTTCTCTTCTTGAAGGCTGTTGCCAGATGTTTATGAAACTGTTTGTTCTTCTCTCTCAGCTGCTATTGCTGTGTTTACGGGTACACACGAGCAACCTTTACAACCCTGCCTACTGCAGTATGGGGGTGTTTTTGAGCATGCGAAATTCTGTCGCACGGCGCTGCGAAAAGGGCTCGGATTAAAGAAGATAATTAGACATTAAAATAGTGAGCAATATTTTTAATTTCTGTCCAGAGAGGTCATGTTTTGATCTTCTATTGGTCTCACGTAACCATGTGATGCAATTTTTATGTGATGCGGAACTTTCCAATGCAGCGACAAGCAAAACTTGCACAAGCTTGCGTTTCTGGTCTGCCACATTCACATGTGTATGAATGGAGGTCTATGGGGTGAAAAATGCAGTGTGACCATGGCTTAAGTGTGTTGGAGCAGGGTTGGAACTAAACTGTGCAGTGATATGGCCCTTCAGGAACTGAGTTGACACCCCTGTTTTATGTGAATAAAAGTATAAATGAAATCTGTTCACTATATAAGGCAATCATGTCCCTTCCAAAGATTTAAATGGTTTAAACTCCACAAGTCAAACCCATTTTTCAATACAACACTTAACATTTTGAGGTTTGGGTGAACAGACTTTTAAAGGCGAGACCAAAATCACTCAATTCTGATTAAAGACGCCATATTTGTGTTCCAGAAGATGAACAAATTTCTTCCCTGTTTGGAAAATATGAGGTGATGTAAGTGTTGTTTAGAAATCGCTCAACTGTTTTAATCAAAGACAGAGCAGTAGAGCAGCAAATCATCATAGCACTGTCAAAAATGTCAACAACAACAACAAAAAAGCAGCAGCAAACTGACAACTGCTTATGAAGCTGAATACGGTGCTTAACTTGAATGATGGCAGTGCACAGAGCCTACAGCTGTCACAAAGACTGATATGATCATTTAGAAGACCTAAATCTGAGATCTAAATGAGATTTTCAAGTGCCAATCTAGGTTAAATGCCCTACAGCACCTTTAATGTGTTTGTCAAAAGGAACCAAGTGTTTCTGAACAATAACAATGTGATTACTTATTCACAGGTTTCGAAATTTACCCCAAAATAAACATTCTGTCATGGTTTATTTCCCATCATGTCTTCTGGGACCTATAAGCTAATTTTACTCTCCCAATGAAAAAATGAAGAGATTTTATAGGATTTTAACATAGCTGTTTTGAACCAAAATATTTTTAATAATTAGCAAAGCTGAAAGATAAGAAAATATCCTGATTTGTTGAAAAACTTTTAAAGTACTGACACTTAGTTTAAGCTACCGACAAAATAAAATTACAAACTAAATAAAATGATTACCAAATACTACAGGTCAAATCACAATTTATTTAGAGAGCACTTTATTCAATATACACTAATCTGACACTTTATTTGGTACACCTTACTAGTACCGGGTTGGACCCCCTTTTGTCTTTATAACTGTCTTAATAATTTGTGGCATAGATTCAACAAGTTACTGAAAATATTCCTCAGAGATTTTGGTCCATATTGTTGTGATAGCATCACACGGTTACTGAATTTTTTTAGTTTCCGGATCTTAGCTGACAGGCGTGGTACACGATGTGGTCTTCTGCTGCTGTAGCCCATCCGCCTCAAGGTTGGACATGTTGCGCATTCAGAGATGCTCTTCTGCATACCTCTTACTGTTACTGTTGCCTTTCTATCAGCTTCAACTAGTCTTGCCATTCTCCTCTGACCGTTGGCATCATTAAGGCATTTGTGCCCACAGAACTGCCGCTCACTGTATGTTTTTTCTTTTTTAGACCATTCTCCGTAAACCCTAGGGATAGTTGTGCATGAAAACCCCAGTACATCAGCAGTTTCTGAAATACTTAGACTAGCTTGTCTGTCACCAACGATGCCATGTTCAAAGTCACTTAAATCCACTTTTTTCCCCCCTTTCTGATGCTCAGTTTGAACTGCAGCAGATCGTCTTGACCATGTCTACATGCCTAAATGCATTGAGTTGAAGCCATGTGATTGGCTGATTAAGTTGGACAGATGTACCTAACAAAGTGGCCGGTAAGTGTAGAGTAAGTTTTAAAGGTTTTAATGCAGCTCAACAGTAAATTTAAGAAACTATTTAGCTAATTACCAACTATTATTATTAACTTCTTATTTTTGAAAACTTGGAAAAGAGTAAACAATAGTGTTATTGTCCAACCCATTTATTTATATAAATAAGTACTATTCAACTATTATTATTGCAAAATGTTTTAGATTTTTGAATATATTAAAATAGAAGTACTGCTGAGTAAAACTGTCTCTATTTCTTTAAAATTATTTAACTTGCACAAATATTTTAATGGTATATTACATCAAAATAATGGTAATATGGTAATACGTTCTGTTATACAATGCAATTGCATTTTAAATTGGGTAGATGTCTAAATACCTCATTACTATAGTGATAAAGCAAATATAGAATTTTCCAATTCTTCAAAATATTACTGTGGCACAAAGTATGCCCAAAACTAATGACTTTACTCTTGCAAAAAACAATAACAACAACAAAAACAACAAAAAGCAACAAAGCTTGCACTTTCCTTACCCTATATGCTTCAATAGAATGTGTTCATGGCCAGCAATTCTAGGGCTCAACCTCAGCAGTGATATTTACAGCATAAGAAAGAATCAATAGCATGCTTTTAACTCTAATTCTCTCTCTATAGCATATGTCTGAAAGCTAGCTTTTGTTTGATCAAACATGAATTGGAGGGAGCAGGAAATGAACCTCGCAGGCCCACTAAAGCCCTTTATTCCTGCTCCATGTGTCTAAACATAGTCTCAAAAAACCTATGTGGCCACTGCACTCCTTCTCATTCTATTAATGAATATATTTTTATTGAAGAAATCCTGGCGATGGAAGAGCTTTCATATATGTTGAAAATGAAACAAGGGCTTTTAGAAAGGACTGGGGAAAGTGGTTCATATAAGAAGTATACAGTAAACCGTAATTATTACAGAAATGGTAACCTCACACTGTTCGCTGCATTCTTATGAAGGTTAAAGTGTGTTTATTTTTGTATTTATTTATATCATTTACTTTGTATAATTCTATGCACTGAGATATGTATGTAATGATGTATAATGTAACTAACCGGCCACTTTATTAGGTACATCTGTCCAACTGTTTAACGCAAATTTCTTATCAGCCAATTACATGACAGCAACTCTATGTATTTAGGCATACAGACATGGTCAAGACGAGTTCAAACAAAGCATCAAAATGGGGAAGAAAGGTGATTTTAAGTGACTTTGATCGTGGCATGGTGGTTGTTGCCAGACGTGCTTGTTTGAGTGTTTCAGAAACTGCTGATCTACTGGGATTTTCAAGCACAACCATATCTAGAGTTTACAGAGAATAATTCAAAAAATAGAAAAAATCCAGTGAGTGGCAGTTCTGTGTGCACAAAATGCCTTGTTGATTCTAGAGATTATGAGGAGAATGGCCAGAATGGTTCAAGCTGATAGAAAGGCAACAGTAACTCAAATAACCACTTTTTACAACCGAGGTATGCAGAAGAGAATCCCTGAATGCACAACACGTCCAACCTTGAGGCAGATGGGCTACAGCAGCAGAAGACCACATCGTGTGCTACTCCTGTCAGCTAAGAACAGGAAACTGAGGCTTTAATTCACACAGGCTCACCAAAATTGGACAATAGAATATTGGAAAAACCCTGCCTGGTCTGATGAGTCTCTATTTCTGCTGTGACATTCGGATGGTAGGATCAGAATTTGGAATCAGCAACATGAAAGCATGGATACATCCTGCTTTGTATCAACGATTCAGGCTGGTGGTGTAATGGTGTAGGAGAAATTTTCTTGGCACACTTTGGGCCCATTAGTACCAATTGAGCATCGTGCCAACACCACAGCCTTCTTGATGATTGTAGCCAACCACGTTCATCTCTTTATGACCACAGTGTACCCATCTTCTGATGGCTACTTCCAGCAGGATAACGCGTCATAAAGCACAAATCATCTTAGACTGGTTTCTTGGACATGACAATAAGTTCACTCTACTCAAATGCCCTCCACAGTCACCAGATCTCAATCCAATAGAGCACCTTTGGGATGTGGTGGAATGGGAGTTTCGCATCATGAATGTGCAGCCGACAAACCTGCAGTAACTGTGTGATGCTATCATGTCAATAGGGGCCAAAATCTCTTTAATATTTTCAGCACCTTATTGAATCTATGCCACGAAGAATTAAGGCAGTTCTGAAGGCAAAGAGGGGTCCAACCCGGTTCTAGTAAGGCGTACCTAATAAAGTGGCTATTGTGAGTATCTATTATAGCTAAGAACAATATACTCTGTATATACAATATACTTTTTTATTTATCCGCATTGTTAAAATTGAATATTAAAGTAAGTAATAAAAAGGAAGCCATTGATGAAAATCACTGCGAATATTCCAATACAAACACTAATATTTCCAGACAATCATAAATGGCTTACATCAGTAATTGCAAAACTTCTCTGAATCGCCTAAATGTGGTTTTCATTAGAGCTGTTTAATAAAAAATAATCCCTGTTGTAATTCGACATGAAATCTAAAATAAAAAGGATCTCTTTTTGAAAAAGTCAATGATTTTCAACGTCTTTTAGGCTAATTCCAACTGATATGTTTATTTACCATTGGCGGCTTGCTTAATGCAATCTTCAGCCAAATGTCAAACAAAAGAAAAAAAAAAAAGAAGAGAGGGGTTTGCACATAATCAAGGCCTTTCACAATTACAGGGTATTCAAGTGCATGTGTTATATAATTTCTGGCACTTGTCTTGTTTTAAAGTTGTCCTGGCTATTAATCTCAGCTTCATTACCAGTCCGAGCATGCTTGTCTTAAGCCCAGTCATCCTGTGGAGGGTTTTAGACTTCATTAGCATGCTCCTCTACAAAAAGCCAAAAAAAAAAAAAACACTGCTGAAAAGAGGCCTAATGGTGCTTCTGCAGGCCATGAGGAAGACAACAGCCTGTTTTGAATTCGTCACTTATCTAAAGTGATTAGCAAAGACTGAAAAGGCTCAATGAATGGCTTAAAGGTTTGAACGGTTTCTGTGGCAATTTATAAAGACATATTGAAAGGTGGGCAGGGCTTACCTGAGGTTGTGGGCGGTCCCTTATTACAGCAGTGTTGAGCAGCTACACGGCCGTAGTGGTACCTGTATTTAGTCAGACAGAAACACAGCAGATATGCATTAGTGAGTGTTATGGCTACTGTATTGTTTGGGTAATCAGTTTATATGAAACTTTACATTTGTATTGTGTGATACTATTGTCAGGAAACACATCAGGAGCTCGATAAACATATTATAGCTGATTATGTTTATTGGCAGTTCTATATCATTTAAGGTAAAAAGCACCATGTTAGCATGCAACATCATTTCCGTAATTGAGTTTTGAACATTTAAACCTGCATTAACCTTTAACGACTCACATGCCCTTAATATGAATTAAATATAACAAGGGGATATATAACAAGGACTATCTAAGTTTGATTAATTGTGCAACCTTACCTATCGATGTCTCAGAGGTTACAGTTTGCTGGTTTACATGCCCATAAAGTTTTGAAAGCATTTGATTTTTAGAATGTATCAACTGCCAATTTCAGAGCAGTCATGTCCATAACGAAGATAAGTCACATCCGTAACAATAGTCTTTCCTCATTAATGCAAAAATGAAAAACTAAATAAAACAAATGATGTGTGTTCCATGCAGAGCCAACCCTTATCCTTTTGACTGTTACAATTAATTTTTTTTTTGGCATCTGCATTTTTATTCACAGAATTTCCACAAAGTATGTCAACTCACAAAAACTCACGCTTTTTTTTTTTTTTTTTGTCACGTCCGTAACGCATTAATGTGGCCGTTAATTTAAATATAAAAACACATGTATAGACTAATATTTTTTTGATGCCTGAACTCCATGGTTAAGGGGTAAGCAAAATATAAACAGATGTTTCAATATACTGGTGGTAACATATACATTCCCTGAATATATATTTTTCATTTTTTTTACTGCAAATGTCACATCTATAATGCTGGAATCAGCCACAAACAACTTTATATGTGCAGCTGTTATGTGCAAATTGGCATGTGAAGTATGTTGTTAAAAAAAAATAAGTGTATATAGTTACTTAGTTAAGAAGATCGTTGGAATTGTCACACATGGGTGAGTTTAGAGATAGTTCACCCAAAAGTTACAATTTTGTCAGCATTTACTCACCCTTATGTTTAAAACGTACACACACACACACACAAAAAATGATTCATTGGATTTACCAAAAAAATTAAGTTAACTGGTAGCAAACTTTTTATATGGGCTGAATTTAAACAAACAAATTAAATTTAGTAATGCTCAACTTGTTATTTAAATTTAGCCCATATAAATAGTTTGTAACCACTTATCTTGAAAAAAAAGGTTAATTGGATTTACTACATTTTTATTTAGAGTACTTGTTTCTTTCTTCTGTTGAACACGAAATAAGGTAGTCTGCTGGTTGCTGGGTCCCATTGACTTTCATGGTATTATATTTTTTCCTATCTCAGAGGTTCCCACAACCAGCATTTTTTAAAACAACTTCTGTTGTGCTCAACAGAAGGAAGACACTGATAAATGTTCAAAACCACATAAGGGAGCGTAAATGGTGAGGTACTTTTCATTTTTGGAGAAAAAAAAAACATTATTTAACCAATAGCCAACAAACTATTGTTGATTTTGTTTTGTGTTATTTTTGGACCCTTATTCATTCATTCATTTTCTTTTCAGCTTGGTCCCTTTATTAATCTGGGGTTGCCACAGCAAAACGAACAGCCAACTTATTCAGCATATGTTTTACGCAGCGGATGCCCTTCCAACCGCAACCCATCACTGGGAAAGGTAACCCTTATCTCTCATTTTACGAATCACCAAAGCTAAATATGTTCTTTAATGGGGAAACAAGTGTGATCTACCAGTATTTCTCAACCACGTTCCTGGAGGACCACCAGCTCTGCACATTTTCCATGTCTCCTTAACCAAACACACCTGATTCAGGTCATCAGCTCATTAGCACAGACGGAAAGACCTGTAATGGGTGTGACAGACAAAGGAGACATCCAAAACACGCAGTGTTGGTTGAGAAGCACTGCTCTATACTGTGAAGACATGATGCATCTAAACTTTTTTTTTTTTTTTTTTCATTTTTGGGATAACTACCACTTTAAAAGACTGAATAAATGGATGGATGAATTTTTCAGCAGCTATTTGAGTCTTTAGGGTCAAATAATCTCTCAGAAATTAATTAAATGTGCTTACTTGCTGTCAACAAATAATAACACTATCATGAAAACAGACATGCTGATTAAAGTCTTTGTAGAAAATGTAACATATTCAAGATTCTTTATTGAATTAAAAATGATTAAAACCCATGAAGCATTTATTTTAATTCCAAGACATTCAATGTCACTTTTAATCAGTTTAATGCATCCTTTCTAAAAAAAAAAATGATGTAACAAAAATAGAGATAGAATCATAGCTACATCGATGAAAAGATGATTTTTCTTTTATAACACTATCAAAATGTGGCCCTCTTTAAAAAAAAAGGCATCTTAAAAAGCCATCTACCATTTCCTGCAGTCATGCAAGTAGTGTACCTTAAAATGCTACCTACATAGGCAGTATGGAAAAAGGCAGTGTGTTTCCTATTCAGCTCTATGCCCTTTAAAATAGTGAAAACTCAACCTAGTAATTCAACATTACAGGTCAACTGCAAGGGCGCAGAGGCAATTGCACAATATCGTCCAAAATTCTGCCAGGAAGTAAATTACAAACCTAGAAAGACAAAGCCCTGGCACGAGCCCTTGGCGCAAGAGCAGCCATCCAGCAGCACCCTGGCATACGAGTATTAATTAGCCACCTAAGGGCATAGCTAGCAGTTGGCATAAAACAAAATTTGAGTGCTCCAAAGCGTCCTTAAACAGTCTCTTGTTACTTTACCTTCTCTTGAGGGATTCAAGAGGAGGAATGGACAGTCACGACGAAAAGCGGGGGCCACAAATTTGGCATGGCCACTAGCAGCCAAATGCTAAAGGATGCCGGGGTGTTTCATATTTTCTGCGGCAGAATCCAGGGAGAATGGAAACCGAGGCTGTTGTGATGGATAGCAGGGGTGGAATGAGTCACGTCAGCGTATGGCTATTTGATATCTCATACAAAGGGAATTTAAGGATTGGGCTCCTATAAAGTTCGGCTTTAGCTCAGCTCTGATGTTTTGAAAATGACAGTGAGTTTGCAAAGTCCTTCATAGAGGGTGATATATATGGTGAATTCACATATGAAGGTACACATGAAATATAATGCAAAATTGATTTTTATTTTTACACTTGAATGTCTGCCATATATACCTGTTTTACAGATCTTTTTCCCTTCATTCTTTTATGTATTGCACTATATTGATGACGCTTCAGAATCGATATCGCAATGTGCACATCCACAAGTCACATCACAAAGATATGCTATGTTGAGTCTGAATTATAGGTTAACTCTGAGCTACAGAATTGTATTTATTATTCACTCTATTTATAGAATTAATAAAAAAATGTATTCTTACTTACAACTTTTGTCCTGTTTCTAGTCCAAATATCTACATTTCAACGTGAAAACAAGATTATTTCACTGGCAGATATTTTAGCTTGTTGAGTGAAACACAATTTTTGTACTATTTTTTTTTTTTTGCATTGTGATTATTCCATTTCTGTACCTGAATACAGTTTGACACCCCAGAAAACCATTAAATAGAGCTATTCAAACTATATTGTAAAACTGTATTCATATTGGAATATTCATTGCAGAAAAATAAAATATTGCATACATACAAACTTACATACACATACATTAAAAATAACTGTCAATAGCAAAAAAAGCTTATAAGTAGTGATTAAATGTCTGTATAAAATGCAGTATGTCTTTCTTTTCAGTCTAACGCAATATGAAATGTGTATATGAAAATCCATCATAAGAAAAAAGAGCAGTTTTTTACTTTTATAAAATTTTAGGCTTCAGGATTTCTACAAGATAGTATATTTTTAAAACATTGCCAAAATTTGCATTGCCAATATAAATTTATAGCTCTATAGAGAAACTGAATAATTCCTCCCCTTACACTATTATCAGACGCTAAAGCTGCAAATGAAGTTAGTCACTTATTCACACTTACTATTTTAACATGGTGAATCAAACACACTGCACATGTGAAAAACATTGCGTTACTTTCAAATGAATCACACCACAGTGCACACACACAGTCTGCTCTGTTCTAGAGATAGAGATGGAAGCGCTGAATCATATGCACTGAATCATATGGAGAGTCGACTCAGACTACAAAACATATTAATAATTCCTTACATTTATATAGCGCTTTTCTGGGCACTCAAAGGACTTTACACAATGGAAGGAAATCTGCTCATCCTCCACCAGTGTGCAGCATCCACCTGGATGACACGATGGTAGCCATTTTGTGCCAGAATCCACACTCCAGCTGATGGGTGGGAAGTAGACAGTGATGAAGCCAATTATTATATGGGAATGGTTAGAAGACCATGACCTGAAGCCAGTGGGCAAATTTTGCCAGGATACCGGGGTGAAACCCCTACTCTTTTTCGAAGGACATCCTGGGACTTTTAACGACCGCAGAGAGTCAGGACCTCGGTTTAACATCTCATCCAAAAGACGGCGCTCACTGAGCAGTATAGAGTCACGGTCACTATACTGGGGCATTAGGACCCACACAGTGTTGGCTCATTCTAAAAAAAAAAAATAATTGGGATTGAGCCTTACTGATTCTTTATATTTGATACTGTAGCTCTGACTAAAATGCATCAATAAAACAAAGTTAAACTAACCACATACAGACTATGACCCTTAAAATGCTGTAAAATATAGCTTTTACCCGAGATGTGAATTTGAAATAAACAAATACAGAAAGAATACAGATCTTTCAAAAAAGGGGAGGAGCTGCTTAATATGTCCCCCCCTGTCTTATCGGCTTAATGTTTCAGGAAGCTCAGAATTCAATTAGAGTTCAGCTAGGTTATGAAGCTTTATTATGCATTTTTTAAGGGATAAAAGTGCTGATGACCGAATTATAATCAAACAAACTAAAATTAAAATCAAAAATAGTCTTGCATAGCTGTTTACATTTTCTAGATGTGCTGAAATGTTTAGAAAGGCAAATGATATAGCCTGCTCTGAGGAGCTATTTGTCTTGTTTTCTACAATGGCTCCAGTATGAGGGTCGGGTATGACTCTCTGAATGTGCTTCTTGACAAGACTCTCAAAATGCTTCATAAGAACCGGTGTGAGCCACTGCACTGAAGTCATTAAGACAAGAGACTGAGGCTTTCTTTCTATGATAGTGGTGGACTTGAAACAGTAGGGAACATTAAAATGTCAGTGGTTATGCTGCTAATACTTTTAAGCTTTAATAAGCACCATCAGTTCATTAAAGAAAAGATAAGCCCAACATCAGACGTACAGTAACTGTGAGGCATATCATAAACTGTCATTCATATTAATACCGCCAGTACTTTTTACATTTAAAAAGAGCTTTTGAAGTAGAAAAAAGCCAACTTCTCATCAAAACCACTCTATTTTTGAACTTCTGAACAGTTTTTAGGATAGCAGAGGTGCATTTAGTACTGAATCTGTCAAAACCAGTTGATGTTTCCTTCACAGTCAAAGTCCCAGTTGTGGTAAAAACACCCAAAGGTTTCTTGTTTTTAAATGAATAAATGATTTACATCAATAAGTAAATGCAGAAAACTAAAATCATTCTTTGTTCATATTCACCTCATGGTCACCACAGTTTCAGTCCAATCTGGCTGCTGGCTTTCCCAATCATCTACAGAAACCCAGTCGGAGCTCTGCAAGGCCAGTCTTGCCATAGCAAGTCGGTGTTTTGAAGCAACAAGACCCTGTTTACCATAACCATCACCGACAGGAGATATAATGCCACCCACCACACGGTACAGACCTGTGAGAATGACAAAGACAACATATCTGACCCAAACAGAGTCAAATACATCACAATGAGATGTGAATCAGTGCATCATAGCTCAGCTAGAATAAAGCATGCATAATATATATATAAGAAAAATCTAGAAAGAACATAAATTAATAAAAACTGATTAATTCATTTTTAACTGTTTAAAATTATTGAATAATTCAATGACTCAACTACAAACACTCAATTTGTTTTATCAAAATCCATGTGAACTGGAAGTTTCTGCAGACTTTTATTTCAGTATGATGATATATTTATGACTGACATATTAGTTAGGGGTTGGGGTTTTATTTTTGTGCTCTTCCATTCATCTTTTGTTCACAGCAAACAAACGGCTGGAGGGGCGTGACTGCATATTTCATTTAAGCCGTCAAACTGGCGTCATCAAGGAAAAACTGCTGTTCAAGAGCAGGAGCAAATGGTTAGTTCTTTAATTAAGATTACCAAAATTAATAGTTTTATTCAGTGGATTAACTTGCACAGATTAACTGTTCAAATTAAGACTAAGAATGTGCACGAGCAAAATAAACATTGTACATATGGATTTCGCACAGACTTTAAGCTCAAAGTATACTTCAGATATAAACAAAATTTTTATCTGCTTACACATGAACAAAGACTGACAATAATCAGTTTTTGTACTGAGTAATATGTAATATAGTAATATATACCAATATATTTCCCAATATTTAAACATGTTTACAAAATCATGTATCTGCTTTGTAATACCGGAAAAGACAAGTAAAACATGAAATACAAATCGGATCTGCGCATTGGTTATTTCACAGTGAACAATTGTAAAATAATCTATTTCTAATCTATAATTATTTAAAAAAAAATTGTCAAACTCCAGTCCTGAGTGATTTAATGACCAACATATTTTAACAGTTAAATTTTACAATTACAACCAACTGAATTAAATTAAAAAATATATATATATAAATTAACAATGATAAAGTAACTTTACTTACTTTACTTAAAGTCATTTGCTCTTTTCTGATCACTGCTGACAAACGTTTTTGCATCCAAACTATACATTTTTATCTCAGTACTTCTACAATCATTTGAATTTACATAATAAATAATGTATATGTGGTTGAAAAGACTATTCTTTATTTGAACGTTTTGCTATGATCCTTTTTACCAAAGGCTTAGCCCAAACCTAATTCTTACCCCTTCCCCTTACCCCTACCCTTCGTTTTGTGCATTCATGTGAAGGGGTTGGGGTGTCCCAATTCCTTTTAGCTTGAATGCATAGGGCTAAGGAGAAGAGCTAGATAGCCCTTGAAACTGAAATTTTTTCAGGATCCCACTCAAACCAAGAAGTGAGAAAATTTCAAGAGATGCACAAATTAGTTTTTTTTTTTCATTATTAAAATTTTTGACAACAAACAAGCTTATGTTTTAATACATTCATAACGGCGTTGGTGTTTTATCATCATGCTTTAAAATTTTTTTGAAAACCTTACTAAATTTTGCTATCTATAATCCATAATAACAACTCGTGTTTAGTAGTCCCACAAAATACTTTCACAACGTCACTCGAATACCCTGTCAAAAAAGTCCAGTGACTAGGAATGACCTTTTAACAGTGTCTGGTATAATTTATTTATTTAGGTTTTAATGCCATATCAACAGCATAGGCTATATTCATGGCAAAAACATATACTAACAAAAATACAATATACAATCATAAAATCAAATCAGTTTCTTAAACATACATTGTAAAAAACAACAAAAAATATACAAGTAGGAACAACACTAAAAACTGTCATATACTATCTTTTAGTTTGATTGAAGATAAATATTCTAAAAGTGCTCCAGAAGGCACCTTTTCAAACATTTCACTTTAAATATTTCCCGAATAAAAACATTCTCTGACATCATTTAAAAATACACATTCTATTAAAATGTGTTATCCTCAAAATATTCTCACTCAAGTCACAAATAGGTTTTACTTCCTCTTTCAATGACTATGCATGTGTAAGTCCTGAGTGTCCGATTCTGCATCTCGTATGTACAACCTGGTCATGTCAACTTTCAAAACAGAAAAATTATTTCTTTCATTTACAAATGGATTCACTTCATACAATTTGTTATTCCTACATTCATCCTATTCCATTTGTGTCTGGTATGTTCATGTTGTTTTCGTGTGTTTACATAGATGAATTAGACCACAGTGTAAATACACAGTACAGTTATGAGCTTATATATTGTTATGATAGCATGATATCTTTGCCTTCTGTGCTTTCCTGAAGCAAAATAAAAACAAAATACTGCAAATGAAATAACTACAGCAGTCGCATTCATCGATCTCAAATGAAGTACGAGCTCATGATGACATATGATGACGTGTGCAGGTGTTGTAGTGGTGTCCTATTTCTTAGGGGTACAATTTGAAGCCCTTCCCATTCACACTCAAGGGCCAAGGGGAAGGGGTAAAAATAGAAATGGGATTGTTCCTTAATAGACCCAGCTAAATCATAATTGTTATTAATAAATGATATCGTGTAGGTGTTTGAAACAGTATCCCGATTCAGCTCTAGCATGAACGCAATGCACTAGAGGCCTCTGAATTAAAGCATCTGTCACATGCATAAAATGTAAATAAGCAGCTTATTAAATAGACATTGATACATTGAAGTACAACAGCCCCAACAAAAGTTTCTAAGCCACTGCACACAAATTAACTCAAGCTTTATATGCACAGGCGGACTCTAATGAGTTGCTGAATGTTTTTGCCAAATAATGCTGTAATTCTGCAGAGTCAAGATGAATTCGCATCAGACTGCAATTGTGTTTTTTGAGTTTTGCAGCTTCTCATTTAGCTGCATGTGCAAGCAGTTACAAAACAGAATTCATCAATACAATTAATTTTTAAAAATCGGTTTTAATCTTTAATAAAAATGGCAACAAACCACAAACAAGTCTCCAGACGCTCTGGAGGTGATATAAAATGCAAGCTACTTCGACAAACTTGTTATGTTATTTCTGCAAGCAATTTTTGAGTACACTGCGTGCAGTAAATAAACACAAGCAAAAATGTCAGTGTGCCAGAATTCTGTCGAGGCTGACGCACAGATACACCATGTCTAGGCTGCCAGCTAGCGATGCAACACAACAAAATGTTCCAATTACAAACAGCAAAAGTTGAAATGCTAGGTTCATGGTGTTGCAGAAGTTACAGAGCTTTTATTTTTTTCCTGTTGATGCTTTAGGTGCAGCATGAGCTTATGCAAGTAATTTTTACAGTTGATCTAATGCAAAGTTAGATCCACCTTAAACTTTAGCATTTATATAGAGCCTTATACAATGGCTTTGCATATTAAAGATAACACATTCAGACCTACTTTCAGCCTAAAATATATCAATATTCAGTTAAATGACAAGAAAGATCACTTTAAAGAGTCAGGCCCTGAGGGGCAGAGGAAAAGAGGACAGATCTGGCCTGATAACAGATGATGGGCAATTTCAGGTAAATGAACAGGTGGCACAAACCCGTCTGGTGCATGTGGTCTCTGGCCAGCTCAAATAGCCGCATGTGCTGATGGGTAATGGGGTTGAAGGAGCCACAGGCCAGCAAAACTAGAGGAATACGGCCAGCCATTTTAGTGTGTCACACCATAGTACTCTGGATAACACTAGGATAGGGAGGGAAAAGACATTTGTTAATAATGTAAACAAAGCAATAGAGGCACAGAACAAAATATTGCAATCGATGCAACTTAATTTAGAATTAATGAGGGGTGAACGTAATGCCTTGCTAACTAAGTTAATTGTTATGCCTGTGCTCTCTCTTGAACTGAAGCCTGTGAATTATTGATTATTTCAACTGTACTGAGGTGAACAGATTTTGTGAATGTAGATTGTAAGAATGTCAAAATATCACTGCGGTTATTTAAGATGCTTTCAGATTAAAAATCCACAACAAAAAAGCAGTAGTTTAACAGTTTAACAGTAAGTCATAATTAAGTTAACTAAATTTTTTAAAAACCTTACAGAGCTAAATTAAATAGCATATTTGTATTTAGCCAGTTTTAAAAAGATTTTCAAATTGCATTTCATTTGAATTTTTACAGATTGTGAACAACGTAGATTGCAAACTTTTTTCCAGTTCCTACACAAAGAATTTGTTGCATTTGTACTTTTATGAAGTGTTTCTAAGTAGCCTTATTATTGATTTGTATTTTTTATTATTACTCTTTATTATTACTCTTTAATATTGATTTTATGTCTTTTTTACAACTGTAACTGTTTAAATTGTTAAGCTGATTCATTTTATATTCATATCAGTGTGCACTTTCATTGTAATTGTAAAACTTGGTTGTATACAAAAATCTCATAACCAGCAGTATGGGGCAAAAATACCAGGTCACTTGTAGTTCCTTAGCATGTACTGTACATGTCCTAGTTAAATGTGACCAGAGGGTTAGTCTTACTATACTAAAACAGCTGCTATGTACAGTATATTGAAGTGAAGTAGGCATGGGATGATAACTGTTTTCAAGGTACCCCGCAGTTTGGAAAAGTCAAGGTTTTAAAACTGTCAAATTTTTTTGCTATACTGTTCCTAAGGTGTGTGTAATAGTTTGTGTACATTTTTTTAGGACAACAATATCTCTATCAGAAAATATATCCAAAAATGCCGTTTTGAATTGTAAAGAAATCAATGTTTTTGAAACTAATGAAGACAGCAGAATTGATAGCCTGACATGTTGTTTACTGCTCTAAAATATTTTAAATGTCACTCAAAATAAAATATATTGTGTTCAATGTGGGAAAAGTTTTTGGTTTTTACCCAAACATTTAAAAAAAAGAATACATTTTAGAGCAGTAATCACAATACCATGAAACAGTGATATTTTTATTCAAGGTTATCATACTGTCGAATCTTATATCGGCCCATGACTATAACTCACGTAATAAAGTTATTTGCAATGCAAATGTAAAGAGTGTAAAAAAGAGTTTGTCCAAACATAACTGGGATTATTTAGGGTGATTTCAGTTTTTTTTTTTAAAGCAGTATTTTAATAAATTATTTTAAATAATTAAAAAATTATAATTAAAAATTAAAAACACGAGAGACTAAATAAAGTTTTAAAAACATCAAATTGCATTTAAAATTTTAATTTTTACAGACTGTGAACAACATACAATGTAAACTTACTTTTTTCCTTGACAAAGTAATTGTTGCATTTGTACTTTTATAAAGTGTTTCTAAGTAGCCTTATTATTTTAAATATATTAATTATCATTTTTTCAAGTGTAACTGTTAAAATTGTTTAGCTAAATAATTTTTAATTCATATCAGTGCTTACTTTAACTGTGACTGTAAAACTTTTAAGGTTGTGTACAAAAATCTCACAACCAGCAGTATGTGGCAAATACTACAATTTTCCTCATGAAATCAAATACATAGTCAGTGGTCACTTATAGTTCCTTACATGTCCTGATTAAATGTGACTAGAGGGTAACAGTTGTCACAATATGTACAGTATATTGAACATGTGAAGTAGGCATGGGACGATAACAGTTTTTAAGGTATACCACAGTTTGTAAAAGTCAAGGTTTTAAAAAAAAAAAAATTCTGCTATACCATTCCTATTGTATATGTACGATATTATTTTTTATGTTTTTTTTTTGTTTTGTTTTTTAGGAAAACAGTATCTCCAGCAGAAAAAATATCCAAAGATGCTGTTTTTAATGGTAAAGAATCTGTGTTTTTGAAACTACTGATTAAAGCAGAAGTCAATGATTCATTTGAATTATTCAGCCTGACATGTTTACTATTCCAAAATATTTTAATGTCTCTTAAAATAAAATATATTGCGTTCAAAGGGGGAAAAAGTTTTAGTTTTTTACCCAGACATTTAAAAAGAATATATTTTAGAACGGTAATCACAACACTGTAATCACAACACTTGAATTTTTATCCAAGGTTATCATACCATCAGAATCTCATACCAGCCCATGCCTATAAATAACTCACAAAAATTTAAAGATTGTGAAGAAACTATTTGTTTAAATATCACCGCGATTAGTTAGGATGATTTCAGATTTTTAAAAAACAACAACAAAAAAGCAGTATTTTAATAAATACATGTCATAATTAAAAATTAAATACTCAAGAGGCTAAATACAGTTTTAAAAACATTTTCAAATTGCATTTAATATTTTCATTTTTACAGAATGTGAACAACATACACTGTAAACTGTAAAAGTATTTGTTGCATTTGTACTTCTAAGAAGTGTTTCTAAATAGCCTTATTATTCCAAATATACAAATTTTAAGTCATTTTTGTAAGTGTAACTGTTAAAATTGTTTAGCTGATTAATTTTATACTCACATCAGTGTGCACTTTCATTGTGACTGTAAAACTTTTGAGGTTGTGTGCAAAACTCTTACAACCAGCAGTATGGGGCAAAAAAAACCTGGTCACTTATTTCCTTAGCATGTACTACTATACAAGTCCTGGTTAAATGTGACCAGAGGGTAACAGCTGTCACAATATGTACAGTATATTGAACATGTGAAGTACCTTAGGAATCCATCATTGCACACAGAAAATCTGTAGATTATGTAAATACAGCATACACTTAGATTAGGTGATAAATAGACAGTGTAAGCACTGGACTCTCAATATTCAATTTGTTTGCTTAGCCAAGCCAAAGTATACACTGGGACAAGTGCACATTACACATTTGGACAAGGCTCACTTTGTTGACAAAATTACCCTGTCTAAACTGTACACTATAAAAATACATTTATTATTTATTAAAGCAGGTAAACAGAGGGATGGATAGATTCAGAATGCCCATTGTGCATATTCCCAATAACACAAAAATGCGAAAGGATGTGAAACAGTAACATGTTTGTTTAACAATGCAGAGGTTATAAAATAAGGTATGAACATAAAATAGCACATTATCACCATGGAATGACCAGACTAGCGCATTTAAAACACGAATCAATTGAATCAATATAACGTTAATAGTATTAATATTGTAACTAATACGCTCTTATATTGAATGAATAGTTTATTCGTGCACCATGCTGTTTGCGTGTACTTCAATTGTAACATCATGTTAAAAAACTCAAGAAGAAATAAGAGCAGCCAAAAAAACAGTAAAATGAAGAGAACTTGACAGATGCCAACAAACTGAGATTGCAAGTTGTAATTTGGCATTTTTAAAACGCATATCCTAAACGTATGCCTCCAAAAGCTGTTTTAAATATACATTTAAACAAAAAAAGAACGAATACAAAGACAAACGTATTTACCTTATCAAAAATCTCCTCCAATTTTAGGAAAATGCTAAATGCTAACTTATATAGTTAGCCGTATGTTACACTATTAATGTCCCCGAAAACATTGAGGTAGAAAACACAGTTCCTATTGCTAGAAAAAAGGCGGCTACTAGCGGAGGAAAAAAAGAAGTCTGGTTTGACCATTGATTTCAAACTCTACCTATTTAATCACAGTGACCGATCTCGTTCGGTCAAACTGGTCCTTTAATGACAAGGACTCGTTCAAAGCCAAACGACATGAAGTCTGTTCTTTATCTGTCTGAACGTCTTGACTAAAATGTAAGTTCTCAATGGGTTCAATTCTGAAGGCAAGGCGATCTTAAAAGCACTATTATCCTAATATGAAGTGAATTATATTCATGTGGAACAGAGATTCTGTGCATCACAGACTCTAATGGGCCGCAAAAGACATCTATAATGATTCCATTGAAGCTACATATAGGCTAAGGATATGGATATGGTCATACACCTTCTTTCCCCCCAATCTTAGCCCTTCATGCATTATGTATTACCTTTTTAACATAAATATCTAACCTGCAGGAGAGAGAAAAAGCTTTTTCTAATCACCCTTCAAGGGGACTTTCTGTTGCCCTTCAAAAAGGCACTTTGCACAAAAACTACCCTAATTATAGCTACTAAAGGGGAAATGGGCTGTAAAGATCCATACTCTGAGCCTGCTCTACTAATGTGACTAATGTTGTGGCACACTAATGGAGTCATATTCTTTGTATTATATCCCACAGAGGTGATGAGCACAGCAATATGTGCTGTTTCCATTACTTTTGTTTTTCAAAATCCCTGGAAATCAGACAACATACTTAACAAACTGCCTTTCTTTGCAACAAATATATGACTTTTTGGTGAATGTGCAAGATTTACAATATATTAGCTGCTATAAAGTATGTGATGCTACTGTTGAAGTCCGAATTAAACCCCTGAGTTATTAGCCCCCTGTTTGTTTGTTTTTCCCCAATTCCAGTTTAACGGAGGGAAGATTTTTTTTTAACACATTTCTAAATAGTTTTAATAACACATTCCTAATAACTGATTTATTTTGTCATCATGGCAAAGACAAAATAAATCAGTTATTAGGAATGAGTTATTAAAACTATTTAGAAATGTGTTAAAAAATCTTTTTAAATAGTAAATAGTATTTGACTAGATATTTTTCAAGACACTTCAGTTGAAGTCAGAATTATAAACTCCCCTTGGAATTTTTTATTTGTTTTTCTTTTTCAATATTTCCTAAAGGATGTTCAACAGAGCAGGGAAATGTTCACAGTATGTCTGATAATATTTTTCCTCTGGAGAAAGTCTTATTTGTTTTATTTTCAGCTAGAATAAAAGCAGTTTTAAATTTTTTTAAAAACCATTTCAGGGACAAAATTATTAGCCCATTTAAGCATTTTTTTTTTCAATAGTCTAAAGAACAAAGCATCATTATACAAAACCTTGCCTAATTACCCTAACCTGCCTAGTTAACCTAATTAAGTTAAGCACTTATGTCACCTTAAGCTGTATAGAAGTGTCTTGAAAAAAATGTAGTAAAATATTATGTACTGTCATCACGGCAAAGATAAAATAAATCAGTTATTAAAAATGAGTTATTAAAACTATTATGTTTAGAAATGTGTTGAAAAAATATTCTCTCCGTTAAACAGAAATTGGGGAAAAAATTAAACAGGGGGGTGAATAATTCAGGGGGGCTAATAATTCTGACTTCAACTGTATATTCAGTGTTGATATTTAATAAATGATCTTTTCCAGCCAAAAAATAGACACCTAATTGATTAAGTTTTGCTATCTGGATACATTTTTATTTTGCCAAAGAGATGAATCACTAATTGTGGATCACTTTATGCTGTCAGAATCTGACAGTGCTTTTTTTTTCGAATTAAATATAAATTTCCAGGTGACGCAGTGGCGCAGTAGGTATCGTGCTGTCGCCTCACAGCAAGAAGGTCGCTGAGTCATTGGTTCGAACCTCGGCTCAGTTGGCGTTTCTGTGTGGAGTTTGCATGTTCTCCCTGCGTTTGCGTAGGTTTCCTTCGGGTGCTCCGGTTTCCCCCACAGTCCAAAGACTATGAGTATATGTGTGTGTGGGTGGATGTTTCCCATGGGTAGCAGCTGCGTAAAAACGTGGTGGATAAGTTGGCGGTTCATTTCGCTGTGGCGACCCCGGGTTAATAAAGGGACTAAGCCAACAAGAAAATAAATGAATGAATGAATATAAATTTCTGCTAATTTGAAAAAAAAAAAATGAGAGTCACAATGATTAAATACTGTGTATGTTCATTTTAAACTAAAAAAACACTGCATCACAAGCAATCTGATCATTGAATGATAGACGGGGTTTATTTAGTTTGCTTGTTTGATATCAGGCAACTTCTTGTCACCTCCTCAAATCAACTCTTCAAAACCTCAGTGCATGCATAAAAGCAAATATTGAACAACATTGTGCTATTTTCTTGGTATTTAATTCTCAAATGAGGACTTGATCACAGTTATGTTAAAAAATCAACACAGAATCACTATTACAACTAATCTAAACTTGATGCATGTTGACAGTTGGCACTACAAGTTCATTAATTCATTTTCATTTTGGCTTAGTCCCTTTATTAATCTGGTGTCACCACAGAGGAATGAACCATCAATTTATCCAGCATATGTTTTACATAGCGGATGCCCTTCAAGCTGAAACCCATCACTAGGAAATATCCATACGCACTCATTTACACACATACACTATGGACAATTTAGCCAACCCAACTCACCTACATGTCTTTGAGTGGGGTAAACAGGAGCACCCGGAGGAAACCCCACGCAAACGGGAAGAACATGCAAACTCCACACAGAAACGCCAACTGACCCACACTGTTAGACATTTCTGTAAATTACACAGTTATTTACTGTATTTCACCCAGTGTAATACTGCAAATTCCTTTTACGGTAAATAACTGTATTTACCGTTGCATTATGGGAATTTGGTGTGACGTCGAACAACATATACAGCGATGTACTGTATTTGTAAAAATTCGTGTATTATACTGTATTTTCCACAACTGCTTCAACGCCACCTTGCGGCGATTCGACTACTCTGCACCACATTTTGCCTGAGGACCCTGGAGCAATTCTGGAGGACAATTTATTAGTGTGCCTGAAGAACATACTGGATTTAACAAACTTTACTCTGGTAAGCTGAGGCAGTGTTTCATTTTACAGAATGTTTTGTGGACGAGAATAAAACAAAGTAAAGTATAAAGTTGGCTATTATTATTTTCTCTGGCTTGGCGTTATTTCGCCCATTTGAGAAATATATCACCTATTAAGATGTTACCTTTATTTAATTTATTACATTAACACTACTATTACTTTAAATAAGACTGTTTATGACTATAGCCATTGTTCTCGTCATATCTTTTTGTTTATTTACATAGGAACCGGTGTTGCAGCGGGTTTTGGTTTAGGAGGGAACCAGAGGTATGCAGACAGTTTTGGAGGACACTTAGCACGAGACAACGGTCCGGCAGAGAGTGTTTTCCCCCAGAAGAATATGAATGAAAGACCATCAAATAATCCAGGTAAAAGCGCGTCTGTCTGTGCTGACAACAGTCGACATTGATTTGAGCACCTCTATTAGCATTTGTTTGCTCGGCAACATTGGCTGAAGCGATCTTAAAATGGTAATGTTAACTGTTAGCTAAACTGAGCTAAGTTTATACTGAATTGGACTCAAACTCATTTTAACGTGCAACGTTTAACTTATATTGATTTATACTATATATATTAGATGTTGTGAACTTATTTTTCTCTGGTTTAGAGTAACTTATAACGTTAGCTTGAGAAAATAACATCGCGACGTAACCTATAAGAACGTTAACGTAAATCTATACAATATGCATAGAGGTAAAGTTGGTTTTATATTCGCACATTCGTTAATTTAGAAGACTCTATACTGTTTACCAAGTTACTTTGAATATTCGATCAGAATTAGCATGCCAGTATGACTTGAAATCAACATTAACACTGTTTATTTGACCGTGAGCATGTTGTACTTTGATAGTCAATAGCTGCTAAAATGATTTCGCTATTTAGAGTTTGCAAATAATACTTTTATGAAATTAAATTATTAAGGGGGAAGTCTGAATCTGCTAATATAAAACCAATTTTACCTCTATGCATTATGCTAATAACCACCTTTTTGCTATTTATTGTTTGCTAATTATTTTTTTATCACAACTCTTGACATTTGGTTTAACATAATTGTTACCATTATATTTTTTTCTGTTTAGATATGGCACTGGCACAGCAGCAGGTTTTGTCTGAAGAAACAAACAGCATTTCGGAGGAACATCTTGATCAGCACAGCCTTATGCTTAAAAAATAAGCAAGACCAGTAAGCAACCAAGGTAAACAAATAAAAAAAAAGTTGTGTGGAGGTTGTGGATTGTAGCATGGTATTCTTATCTGTATTTTTGGCTTTTTTATGGTCTCAATATAGAATACTGGGAGCCTGCCTGTGCAAACTGGACCTCATACAACAGTAAGTACTGTACATCTATTTGTTTCTCAATATAGTAACGTTACTTTTAATACAAAATGTGTCACATGTTTAGTTGCTAGCTAAATAAAAAAATCTTTTTCCCTTTTTTATTAAACCATTTAGTAGGTTTTTTTTCATCTTTGTTTATAATATTTTTGAGCAGATTGAGGTCTGTCATGGGTCAGACATTTCAAAATACAATAATTAGTATTGGGATACATGCATTTGTCTATGTATTAAATGTCTTTTTCCCCATTTCATGTTGCCTAAATATTTTGCAATAAATAAAATAATAAAATTTTTTGTATAAATAATTCCAGAGGATGAAACAAAATGCACAGCAACAACCAGAGTGAGCCAGAAGAAGGCAGGAGAAGTAGTGAAGAGAATGACAACCATGAACAACAGTGAGTTATCCTTCTTTCACTAGCTAACTTAGAACTTGGATTAGGTGAGACACTCTCAATAATTGTATCAGTATTCAGTCAGTT